AAAGGAAGCTACACTCCAGTCATCTGGGAGTACAGGCATGCCAGAGACGAGCAAGGGAAGCTTTCTACTGGCCTGGCATGTACAAGGAGATTGAAGAATATGTCTCCCAGTGTGCAGTCTGCAATACATACCACCAAGGGCAGCAGAGGGAGCCCATGATCTCACACCCAGTACCATCAAGACCGTGGCAAGTCCTTGCTGTTGACCTCCTTGAGCTCCGGGGCCAGGACTACCTTGTCACTACTGACTATTACTCAAATTTCTTTGAGGTCGACAAGCTTGTTACTAAGACATCGAAAGAAGTAATTGAAAAGCTCAAGCCTCATATGGCCAGACATGGAATTCCGGACAAGATAGTAAGCGATAATGGCCCCCAGTTCAGCTCGCAGGAGTTTAAGAAGTTCAAAGACTTATATGAGTTTGATCATGTTACAAGCTCTCCCAACGCGGTAAAGACTGCGCAGCGAATCATGCTTAAGGCCTTAGAGGCTGGCAGTGACCCTTACTTGGGATTCCTTGACTTCCGCAACACCCCCACTGAAGGACTAGGAACATCTCCAGCGCAGCGTCTCTTTGGCCGCCGTACCAAAACACTCCTGCCTACCGCTGGCAGACTCCTGACACAACCTGAATTTGACACCACTTCCCAGCTTCTTCATGCTCAGAAGAACAAACAAGCCTTCTATTACAACAATGGCACTAAAGAACTCCGGCCACTTGAACCAGGGAGCACCGTTCGTATCCATCCACCCAAGTATAAGCATCAATGGACACAAGCAACGGTTGACAAACAAGTTGGTGTACGTTCCTACCAAGTAATTACTGACGACGGAAGGGTGTATCGCCGGAACCGCCGACACCTGCGTCTCACAGCTGAGTTTCCAAAACAATCACTTCCTGACATTGAGGTATCTAGCTCCGATCCTGGTCCCCTGCCCCTGACCAACGTTGAACAGGTACCACCAGTAGCTGAATCAATGTGCCAAGAGGTGGCCAAGCCACAAGCAGCACCAGGCCCTCCACCTGATGACATACCAAGTCCTGAAAGATGCAGCTCCCGGGGAAGAGTCCTACGAAGACCAGCATACCTCAGTGACTATGCATGCTGACACTTTTTCTATGTCGTTTATGTTCTTCGAACAATCATTATAGGAAACAATTCACGTTTTTCTTTCTCT